GAGCGGGTGGGGCATGCCAGCAGCTGGCAGCAGACACCTCCTCAGGCCGGGCACAGCGGGGCAGTGGCCGGCATTCAGCTCACTGACGTGCTTGTAGAAACCTGGGGGCAACAGAAGAGACTGTCAGGCCTGGTCCGTCACGCAGATCCTCCCTCCCAGCCGCACAGGCCTTCCTCTGGGGAAACTCCCCCAGCCACCAGCAAACCTAGAGACCTTTCTGCAGGCGGAGGAGTGTACCGGCCCCATCTGCCCCTTCCAGGGGCCGGGAAGTGGGTTCACCCTGAACTCCGAGGGCCTCGTGGCCCCCACCCACCACAGGAAAACGCCCAGGCACTGAGCCCTCGTCGGGAAGGCCCTGGACTGTTGCGTCACAAGCAGAGTGGTGGGACAGGGCAGCCCGGCCTCTGATTGGCCAGTGACCACTCTGCACCAGAGTCCAGATGGGTCCTGGGTTCTGGTTCTGAGTTCTAGACGCACCTCAGGCTAAGAAGAGGGGGCTCCGGGCGGCCGGCACCTGCAGGTGGGCACCACTCCCCACTCATGCTTCTCCTCCCTAAGCTGCAACCTGTTTGGACCTCAGTTTCTCCATCTGCAAAATGGCGCCAAAGTGTAGCCCCCGCTGTGCTGTGTGAGTCGATGTGGCAAAGAGGGCCAGGGCAGGCTCCTCATGGGTGTCAGGGAGGGAAGCCTTGGGGGGCCCCACTTCTAGGGGGTAAAAGGCTGAGATATGCTGTTGGAGGAGAGGGGTTCCCCCAGGGCTGAGATTCTAATCCAGGTCGGGTGACCTCCATTCCGCCCCCCGGCTCTCCTCAAGGGAGCCCCCAGTCCTTTGGGACCCCAAGTGGGCAAATGTCCCAGAAAGCACATGACCTGCCCCCCTCTGGCGTCCCTGCAGACCACCAACCCACCTGTCAAGGCCTAGGGGGGCTCTGCGCAGACCGCCCCTGATGCGCCCCCAAGCCAGGCCACCTCCTGCCTGCCAGGCAGCCAAGAGAGCAGACCCTGCAGAGCCCACCACAGGCCTGGCTGTGAGGTGCGGTGGAGCGGGGTGGGGCAGGAGGGCCCAGGGCCACCCCAGTCCAGCAAATAACCCCCTTTGGCTCCTAGACCGCCCCAAGGCGAAGCAGAGAAGCGGACATGGCCCCATCAGGCACGCGGCCCTGGTGGCTGACACGGCATCCCGGGCGCCCAGGCCGGTGGTAACTTTGAGAGGAGCCCAGCCCCACCCAGAGCCCCAAGTTAGACCCCAGGCTCCCCTCCTCACCAGTACCGCAGCTAGTCCCCCCAACCCTGGCACCCTTTACCCGGACCACAGGGGCTCCTGGCAGAGTGGGGAAAAGGGTAGTGGGGCAGGTGGGGGGCCCCTGTGGGAAAGGAAGAGTTATGTGCCCAAAGGGCCTTTGTAGCCAGCAGGAACGGGGTTCCCAGGCACAAAGGAGCCTCTGAGAGACCAGGGTGCCGGAGAGTGACCACCAGGTCCTTGGAGGCAGCAAAACAGCATCTCCCCCACCAGCCCCAAGAAATGCTGAGGGGACATTTCTCACTCCGTGTGTCTAGTCAGGTCTGGCGCCCCTCCCCCACCTTTGACAACTTCAAGACAAGCCCCCCCCCACGGAAATGCTCCAGGCAACTCCCCCCCCCTTTGGGGGGCAGAAGGAAGAGGCCAGAGGAAGCCACTCCCCACTGGCTGCCCCCCCTCCCAGGCCTGCTGGGTTTAATGACCCTTCCGGGTCGCCAGTGGGGGGAGGGGAGCAGAGGGGGCCTCCACACTGGGGCTGGTGGCCGGCCAGGTGGGAACCCCAGATCCCCCCTGGGCGGCCACTAACCCTAAGCTGACCAAGCCCACCCCCTTCAAGTCCCTACCCCCAAAGGCCCTTTGTCCTTTGCCCCCACCCCACTTTATGACAACTCCCAGGTAATGGCATCCCCGAGCACTGGCGACGGAGGACGGAGGACGGGGAGGTGCTGGGTGGTCGTTGAGACCTGGTCTGGGGGCTCAGGGGCTGATCGGGGCTACCCTCAACCCCCCCATGCCTCCGGGGGAGAGAGGTCACCCGCTCAGGCGGGGGCCTTGCAAAACACGGTTATTTAAAGAGTTGTGCAAGGCTGGGGCCCACGGGTGGCGAAAGGGGGCCCTCTCGCCACCGAAGGAAGAGGAGGGGGAGGGAGGGGTAGAAAGCTGGGGAGGGGGTTGAGAGAGGCGGAGGGGGCGGCCCGGAGGAAGTGAGAAAAAAAACTGAAGAAGAAATAAAACGAAAAAGCCCCAGTCCGGATTTCAAAGGCTTCTAGGAAAGCGGCCGATTTGCATGGGGGGGGCAACCCCCTCCGGCCCGGACGACTAAAAACGGAAGATAATTGACCAACGCACGGCTGGGGTCTGGCTCGGAACGTTGGAATTGACAAACGCGCGTTCCCCGCGCTTTCCTGAGCCCGCTTTTGTGTTTGGGGGGCGCTGAGACGGGGGGCTGTTTCCCGGGGATCCCCGCCAGACAGCGGGCGCCCGGCCGTACCCACCCCCGAGCGCGGCCCGCGGTGGTCGCCCCGGGGACCCCTTCTGCCCGGGAGCCGACACTTATAAACCGTCCAGCGCAGGGCGGGCGGCCGACGCTGGGAGCTGCCCTCCCCCCCGGCGCTCGCCCTGAGCCCGGCTCCCGAGAAAGCCATCCGATTCCGGGGAGAAACCCTGAAATGAGAACTCGTTCGCAGCCCCCCGCGTGCACAGCGAGACCATTTCCTTCCGCTGCGGGGGGGTGGGGGAGCGCGTCCCCGCGACCCCCGATCGCTCCCGCGCGCCCCCCGACAACACGCTCGGGGGGGGGGGCTGCCCCGGGG